CCCAGGTGAGCGGGCAGCGGCTTGGTGACCAGCGTGGCCCCAGAGGGCCCCTGAGGGCAGCCCTGCACAGGGACCTCGTGCCCTTCTCTTAGAACGATTTTAGAAAACCCCATCAAACCCATCAAGCTGTCCCCCAGGTCAGGTTCAAGGCGTGCTGTCCCCCTCCCCAGGGCCGTGGCCCCCCAGCCCTCGCCAGCCTGGCACCTCGCAGTTTACAGAGCCCCTCGCACCCCGGAGCCAGCGGGACCCCAGGCCAGCGCTGAGCGGGGTGTGGGGGGCTGGGAGTCTTCAGGGTGATTGCCTCACTGGACAGCCGGGGACACTGAGGTCCAGCATGGAGCACGAGCCAGAGGCCCAGGACCTGCGTGGCGTTCCTGCCGTGGCTTGGGTGTCCTGACCCACAGCCCATGGCTCCTGGCCCAGAGAGGACAAGCTCTGGGGACACCCAGGCTGGCTGAGGCGGCCCCCACGCCCTGAGAAATCCGTTGCACCCCTCTCCGCTGCTTCACCGGGCTCTGCACCCCCAGAGGTGCCTTCGAGGGTTTGTCCTTGCCCATCCTGGCCTTTCACCCTGACCCTGATGTGGAGAAAACTTGGGTCCAGGCGACCCTGTGCTAGGGCCCCACCTGACACCCTCCCTCCCCCGCTCCCCGTCCCCGCACCACGCAGGCCCTCCCTTGAAATCCACTCACCCTGAAACCGGGAGACAGGAACCGGAGGGGGTTGGCTCATTCTAATCCACGTGGGGGACGGGGAGAGACGAGAAACCGGGGACTCGGGCAGGCGTGCCCTCTGCCGACGCTCCCACCTCCCGGGGAGACGGAGGCGCAGAGGTGACTGTGGGAAGCTTGGCGTGCGGTGACTGCTGCCCACGCACCCCGCCCGAACTTAGGGTCTTTTCTCATCGACCCGTGGACATGCGTCCTCAGGCGGCTGACCGGCCACGTGGGCTGGGCGTTAGCCTGGCGCGAGTGACACTCTGGGCCTGGCGTCCACCCCGCGTGCCCCCAAAGATGCCAGGACACTCCCTTAGCTGCTGTCCTGGGACC